TTTTTTCTAGAATACTAATAGATCTATCCAAATGAATAGTCAAATATACAAGCATTCACAACAAATTTTATTACCTAAACTCCTTATCTATTTGTCATATCACAGCTTTTACTTATACTGTAGCTTTAACTGTTCTCACAGAGTTAAGTATAAACAGTTTACTTAAAGTTAAAGTTAAAGCTAACGTTACAGTTATTAAAGATTGCATTAGTTGCAGTATTACTCCAAATGCTATTTGGTATACTTGCTAACATTTCATCTGAAAGATCAAATTGAAAATTATCTGAACTTCCCAAACTTGCAGATTCTGGTAAACAAACATCAGCGAGTAGTTCATCAGGCACATCATACTCAAAATCATTAAGCTGCAAAGAATTGCTACTAGGAACTGTCTTGGTGCACTTATCTACTTCCCATTCCCTTTTAGCTACACTTTCCTCCCCTTTTTGTTCAGTTGCAATACTAGGGCCAAGAACTGCGCTTGCAGTTTCAATTTGTTTAAGACTTGGCAACTGATATCTTAAAAGAGCATTAGAGGTATGGCCTGTTCTTTCCCGGATTAACTTTTCCTCCACCCCGTTCTGAAATAGCGACGTTGCACAAGTAATGCGCAAGCAATGAGAGGTTTTCCTAGGAATTCTCGCCTTGTCACATAGTTTCTCCGGCAAAATCTTATTAAGTGTACTAATACCTACTGCGCTTTTCTCGTACCCCATACTCCCGTCCCTCTTTGGTCTACAATAAAAACATTCTACTTTGGGAGCAATGTCTTTCACTAGCTCTAAATACATTGAGTACATTGCTAAGAGACATGGGCTATGCTGCTTTCCCTCACCGTGACACTGATGATTAACTATCCTCTTCCCCTTCTTCAAATCTTTCAGACCGCCATGAAACGTTTTTGACAAAGTCTCATCAAAAATAATGCTATTCCCTTTTAAAATAACATTATTGTATCTTAATTGCCTATGCTCGTTTGATCTTAGCCCAAAAAGCTTTCCATTATAAAAATACATAGTATTTAAAAGACTTTCTGCACTATTGTTACCTAACAACTTTAGTTTCCAAAACAATGCCTCTTCCTCCTCTGTGATGTTTTCTCGAGGTTCTTTCTGGGTTGCTTGAGTAACACCGAGTTTGGTGGCCTCTCTCATTTCGGCGTCGAGTGCTTTACGAAATGTACAAAATCTTAAAATTGTAAAAGAAATAATGATGAATATGACTAAACATTCCATGGTGTCTCTATTTTTAGTTACTTTTAGTTACAAAAAATCAAACAACAATTACCTTCGATCATTCTTGTTAAGGAAGTTGACTGAATTCTCGGCATTTACGTTTTGAAGATGTCTGTTAATGCCCGAGACAATTACATAGAGAGATTTCGGCGGATATCTTCCGCCACTCTTATTTGCAACCTCACCAATAAACTTAGTAAGCCAGAAATTCAATGTGCTTGGCGTCATTTCTGTTAGGTCGACATTTAGATCTTGTACATCGTCAATGTTACACTTGAAGCCAAAACCCTCATTTTTTGCACATTTGTTTGCTCGGGAATGCTGCCATTGGTTAAATATCTTAACACTCCATTTTGTTGTGTTTCTAGTGTTTGATGGTATAGTTTCTCGCAGCCAGGCTTCTTCTTCGTCTTTAGCTTTTGGATTTCTGAAGTTCGCCATGCTCTCTTTCTCGCTTAAAGTGAACGATAAACTGAAGTCGAAAACTGCATGTAGCGTGGTCCCGTGTAGAAGAAAACAATAACTGCTTCATTAGCAAACCATGGATTACATAACCCCATTGTAGGACGGATTTGATGTAACAAAGATTAGTTTAAGTCCATTTGTTTCATTAGTACATAACAAAGGATCCTTATGCAAAAATAAAATGGCTTTTATATTATGTCTTTTGTATTACGTTTAACGAGCTGTATTTTTGCTATTGTTAACTAGAAAAAATAACGCAAATACCAAATAACAGCTTAATGTACTAATGATGGATATCATAAGTCATATACAATATTCGCTTCCGATCTGTATTGGGGATACAATGGCTCGCCTTCGGCTCGCCATTGTATCTCCCAATACAGATCGGCCGCTCATATTGTATATATTACTTATATTCCCAAATCATAAATATATCTTGAAAATAGTAATGAAAAAGAATTAAACAAAACAGATATGACATATTCTGTTGAGTTGATTTTGCATTTCAAATATCTGTGACTAACGGTTTTTTTGCATTGTTTTTGTTGCCGGTCATACGAAAGCGCGAGTATATGCAAAATGATCACGCTATGAACCTGTATGTTGACTTCATGTAATTCACTATTTTATTCCTTTATGTTCTTACATTCTAAAATCTGATTATTTGCTTATTCTCCCAGCGTGTTCAAAGCACAGTGTAGGCGTTCCCAGTCCATTTATTATTCCAAGCCATCGTTTTACAGCTTCATCTTACCTTCCATCCTTTAAACCGTCCTTGGCTCGATTAGAGGGTGGTTATTCATGGTTAACTCGCGCATCAAGTAATGAATACCTTCAGATCGATCTGGGTCAAATATTTCGCATATGTGCTGTGTTGACCCAAGGAAGCCCCCGTTATGATCATTGGGTCAAAAATTATACACTTCAATACTCACATGATAATAAACTATGGGAAACATATCAAGAGTGGGATGGAAAGCGAAAAGAGAAGACAACAAAGGTATTTGATACTGAGACTTTTTGCGCAGTGAAAAATTCTGCGATATATAGATTCTGACTCTTGTGGCGATCCGCTCCTGCGGATTATTCTTATCACTGGTACTGATGCAATCAATGCTCTGTTACTTTACATAGTTTTTTCAAGCAAACTCAGACAGATCAACCATTGTCACTAATCACATCAAGTACCCCTTCAAAGCAAAGTTTGTTCGAGTGGTTCCTGGAAAAACTTACAGCAACATGATGTCGTTAAGAGTAGATTTTAAGGGAACCGCAGAAGGTATAATGATATATAGAGGATATTACATGGTCGCTTGGAGATGCGGATCTTATCTTCGAATGTTGAAAAGATCTCTCACGAGTGATAAAATTCGTATCTCCAAGCGACCATGTAACATTTGGTTTATCATGTAATTACATTTAATATTCTGTTTATCATATAAGTACATATGAAAGCAATTATGTCGTAAAATGCCTTTTTTTCTGACTTCCGCTATATGGAGAAACCTCGAATGTGTTATTTTCACTAGTGAAAATATCAACTTTAGGAAATAGAGAAATGTAGGTATTACATAGATAATATTGTATGATAAATATAAGTATTTCATAGATGATTATATGATAAATATAGGTATTCCATACTTATATCATCTATTAGATAATTATATGATAAACTTGATTTTTCCACGCGGTAATCTCATCAGGCATTATTTTACACTAATAATGATAATGATGATAATAATAATGATGATGATGATAATTAAAGTTTTGAAAATAGCACTGATGTTTACCTTCAAGCTTAATAACTATTACCCAATTAAAATGAGTTGCTAGAGGGTGTATTATTATTAATTTTGTTTATTTTTTTTTATATTATTGATTAGCATGTACCGTTCCCCTTGGTGTTGAAAACAATGGAATCTCAGATTCTCAGATGACGTCATCATCTTCATTAGACATTTCCCATGCTGCATCGCGAGGTCGCCTGTACGGTAACTCTTCATGGTGCAGCTCAAGTTCGTCGAACATCTCGTACATACAGGTTGACCTGGGGCGAGTAAAGACGGTCACTGGAATAGCAACACAGGGGAACCCATCGCGAGATATTTGGGTGAAGTCCTTCATTCTCAGATATTTCCGAAGCGGCTTGTGGCATAGTTATAAGGAAGGAAAAGCTACGAAGGTGATAATATAATAATATAATTCATTTAAGTAAGCAAGTCACAGAAATTACAGCAATGAAATCGGCCTTCTTGGTTCAATAAGGCTTTTATTATTAATGGACCTCTGAAGCCTTTACCTCATAACTTATGTTTTCTCATGAGGCTAATCCTTCATGCAATGCATTGCAAATCACGTAAGTGACGTAAAAGCTTCAGAAGTCTATTCACTTGGAAATGCAAAAATGCAGTATTTTTTTTGATATTTTCATTTGTCTTTTATTAAATATGAGGAGTTCACTGGAAATAACAATAAACATGACGTTATAGTCAACTGGTTATGCCGACCACTAACAACGCGTTACATCAGAATAATTCCCCTGACAAATATGGGTGGATGGAAGTGCATGCGACTTGGTCTGTATGGATGCGATTATTCTGGTATGGCTTATTAATTTATAGTGCAATCTTCAATGTGAAATAATTACAATTGTAAAAATTGTTTTGTTTTTGCAATTCTACATACCTAACACACACACACACACACAAAACAAAGAAACTACGGAAACCTAACGGAAACTTAAAGAGTGCGCGCTCAGAAAAAGCCCGCACACAACTTGCCAAATAGAGTCAAAAGCGCGCGCGGCAAAAGCAAAAAAAACACGCGCCAAACTAATATAGCTAAAAAAAAAACAATATAAAAAAGTAAAAGTAATGAAGTCAAATAAAATACAATTTTGAATCAAATATATTTAACTATGTACAATAATAAATAAATAAGGTTAAAAATTACATGTTTTTGTTACAATTTGAAAAAATAGCGTCATTGACGTCGAAATTGTTTTCTTTCTTAATGTATGAAGTCAAACACTCAGCTCACTAAACTAGAAATTACATTACACAAACCCAAGCTAGATAAACATCACAAAAGAAAAACATATACAATTAGAAAATCAAAATAACAGCAAAATTAAATCTTGTAAAATTCCCTTAGAGTAATTTATCATATGAGCAGGATTTGATTCTAAACGCTTGTTAAGAACAAGGTTGAAAAGTGAATAGCTTTTCTATTAAGCAAATTACGCTCAATATTATCTAACTTATTCAAAGGCTATTACTAAAAAGCTAAAATCACTAAGCTTATGTGGTTTACTATTGAAATGAATTGCAACCTCACATGTCTTTTTCTTAGTTAACATAGATGACTTATGATTTCTAAATCTTATCTTATTCATTCCTAGTCGAACCAACATATTGCACTTTGCACTTATTGAAAGAAACCAAATATATTCTATGAAATACCTTTAATTTCTCCATTACGTAAAATTGATATCTTCACTAGTGAAAATAACACATTCGAGGTTTCTCTATATAGTGGAATTAAGAAAAAAGCTATTTTACGACATAATTTGCGTTCATATCCAATTATATGATAAACAGAATATTACATGGTCGCTTGGAGATACGAATTTTATCTTCTCGTGTTGAAAATCTCTCACTCGTTCGCTACGCTCACTCGTGATAGATCATTTCAACACTCGAAGATAAAATCCGTAACTCCGCGCGCCCATGTAATATCCTCTATATATGTAGAATTTAGAAATTGTAGATGTGTAAAATGTTTTTGTTATGTTCTAACTCTAGGTAATTGTTACACTCCAAGAATCAATACTTTATCGACGCTTTTTACAACAAAGTTGCCCACTGAAAGGACAACTGAAAAAGGTATAACTATCTGTTAGTATTACCACTGGGTGATTTGAGAAAATGCGACTAGCCAATCAGCGCAAAGCTGACAAGCTTATGTTGTAAACATAGCCCCCCGACGGGAGGAATTTGCACAGAAAACTCGACCCAGTGGAGTAGGCTGCCTGTCATTTTATTCCATCCGAATAATCAAAGCTAAAACGCAAAGAGAAATTGAAATCTTTATAAAATAGCTTTTAAATGTCAATCAAATATTTATTGTTATAGAAATAGAATTTTATCTTAAAAATGAAATAACAAATAAGTTTTTCTTTAATGCTAAGAGACTCCCCTCCCTGATAAAAATAATTAGTATTGCATGCGAAGTAATGGCCGACTTCACGAAGACTTCAGAAGGTCGTTGAAGCGACGTTCAAGTCCAAAGTATCTTAGGAGGAACCATTGCAAATCCTTTTTCTTAGCTCTTGTTTCCTCTAAGCTTTGAAGATAAAATCCGTAACTCCGCGCGCCCATGTAATATCCTCTATATATGTAGAATTTAGAAATTGTAGATGTATAAAATGTTTTTGTTATGTTCTAACTCTAGGTAATTGTTACACTCCAAGAATCAATACTTTATCGACGCTTTTTACAACAAAGTTGCCCACTGAAAGGACAACTGAAAAAGGTATAACTATCTGTTAGTATTACCACTACTAGTGGACTATTGCAAATCCTTCGTTCTGATTGGCTACGCTAATCGGGGTCTATTTTCAATAGGAATGAATATTGTTGTTCCAGCAGAGTCAAGCTCTACCGTACCTATGGTGATAGCTGTCATAGCATTAGGAGCGTTGGTTGGATTTTCATTGACGACAAATGTCTTCCTTGCTTACAAATTATACAAGAATAAAAAAGGTTTTCAGATAAGTTCATCTCCGGATGGACAGCCCACTCATTCTCTGGATAACCATGTAACAAACGAAGGCTTCATTCAGGAAGAACGAGCAACGACAAACGACGAGATAAACCAATCAACTCAAGAGACTGGAGAGTACATGGAACCAATCGACAAGTAAGCATAGAGGTTTTCAGATTGAATGATATCCAATTGTACACTATCCGTTCAAAAAGAGTAAGATGATTGCTAAGTGGTCCCTTCCAGGGGTGGGTCCAGCAAAGGGAGTGCGCGAGTGAACAAAAATGGCGGGAAATTTTCGCGGGAAATCAGTTTTACGTAAATTTGCCTTGCATTACCAACTTATTAATCTTCAATCGAATATGCAAATGATAAATAAAAAAAAAACGACGACAATCAAATGTGTTTTGAGGGTTATTTCATTTTTCGATGTTTTCTTGTTGTATTATATAGTAGTGATAGTAGTTCAATCTCGTACCCTGAGCCTGCACTTTTGCCATCCAGCGGAAGGCAATGCGTTAGAGACTCGTGATTGGTTGAAAATGATGTGGAGCGCATTGTTTTTCAAGTCAAAACACTCTATTGTTTTTACGCAAAGGACTATGGTCGCCAGAAGAGATCAGAGTGACTGGATATCAAATAAAATGTACATGAGCAATCTTTGATACATGGCATATATCAATCTCGAGCCCAGAGTCTTCACGGCTAATGTCAGCGGTATGCTGACGCCGGAAAGACTCCAATCTCGAGCCCAGAGTCTTCACGGCTAATGTCAGCGGTATGCTGACTAGTCGCCGGAAAGACTCTGGAGGAATCGACTGGATTTGCGACGCTTTCCGTCGCAAATTATGCAAATTAGGTCAGTTTTATTTTTGGCACTTTAGAGCATCAAAATGATAAAAAAGAAGGAGGTTTAGCACAAAACTTAGTTTAGGAACGCTAGTTAAACCTTTTTTAAAAACAAAAATGTGTGAAAAAAGGTGTTTTTACGCGATAAAAGTATGATATTTTTGACTAAACAGGCGAGCGCGCGCTTGCGACTTGAAAAACCGACTTGAAAACAATGCGCGCTCGCGTCATTTTCAGCCAATCACGAATCGAGAAATAACGCATTCCCCCAGAGTCTCTCACGCATTGAAAACCACTGGATGGCAAAAGTGCGGGCTCTGGGTACGAGATTGGGCATATATCAAAACACGGTTCATTGAAGTTCTACTTTAGGAGACAATATATATATATATGGTTCCACATTTCCAAAGTTTTGAGCATCGTTTTCCGATGTAAACATAGCGTTACTTAATAATAAAATAAGACAATTAGCACTTGATGACTAAACTGTGAAGATCGAACTAATGGAATTATTATTTTCCTTCAGTAATATAGCAACAAGACCTATGACAATGCCAAATACAGAAGCAAATTCAACATATATGCCACTTAAGCCAAAAGAACAAGCAATTTACCAGCCTTTACTGAGAAATGGAAATAAAATGGGAAATGAAAGAAAGGAAGGCAAAAAACCTACGGAATACTTAGAAATATTGCCTGAGGAAGATTTGACAGCACCGTATGAGGACATGTCAACAAACGTCTAGAAAATCTCGTACAAAATCAAAATGGCACATTTTTGCACTAAATCTGCAACTGAAGCAGAACAAAGTGCCCTGCATATTTTTGGTTGAGGGCGTGGAATCAAGTAGGGGGACCAAAGGATTTTTAAACATTTTTTTCCGGCATTTTGAGGGGTTTGGGGAACATATTTTATGCAGTGAATCTACGAACATTTTACTTACTGCCAAAAGGTATAAGTAAAGGGGGTTAAAAATAACATTGCTACGTGTTCCCTAAAACATCCTTTCAATCACCATTGTTCTTTGCAGGCACAACTTATTTACTGCACAAAACAATTCAACGAAGTACTACACCATGGCAAATCAATAAATAGTTAACTTAGATACAAGCTTTTCCAGAGAAAAGGGTGACTTTAACTTGTGTTCATTAAGAAGCTTTCATACAAAGCTTATTTAATAGGTGAAACATTACCAAACCGATTTTGCAATTTACTGAATTTTTAAAAATAAACGTTTGGCCTCAAATAAGGTGCAAATTTCCTTGTTATTTTAGCAAAACTTCGAGGTTAAACTGAGTTAGGGTGGCAAAAAAATTGAAAAAAATGATAGTCACTGTATAATCTACTCCAAACAGTAAAACAGGCGCATTAGATCATATCCACACGCAAATTTGTACCATATTCATTGTAAGTGATGAAATTATTATCATTATTACTCTAGTGTTCTAGTCTATTCAATCAAAACAGTTATCAGTTTTAAACTTTGTTGATATTTTTTGAAATACTTTATGTGCTTGTACATTTAGTGATCAGTAATCAAAATAAAAACATATAAGTTTACTCTTTTACAATGCTAATCAATAATTCTATTGCTTCTTCTACACCAAATTGAGATAAAATCTTCCTAAACTGTTCTGGAGTTGAACTGACTACGTCATCAGCCCCTTCAACCTCGACAGGACTACAAACAAAGGCGTCTATTTGTGGCACAACATTACCAAACTTGTCAATATGAATCTCCCAACAAACTGTGAAATGTAGACCATTTCTTTCTACATTACGTAGTTCCATAAAATTACTCCATTTTGGTCCATTCAGAAAGCAGACATACTCTGGATATTTTGTGTTAAAGTGATGAAATGTTTTATATCTGGAACTGTAATATTGTGAATACTGCGACAGCACTTGTAACACTGTTCCAAGAGATCTTTCTTGCTCAGCATTAGATATAAATATTTCTAGTTCATCTTTTGCTAAAGGGTCATCAATCTTGACCTGTAGCTTTGATATTTTGGCAGAAATTTGGCCTTGCTCTTTGGTATCTCCATCTAGAGTGGATGTTACAAATGGATGCATAAATGGTGGATTAAGTGAAAATAGAGGAGGAAAAGTGGGTTCATTCTAGTACTTAGATCCTTCTCGCATCTCCCCAGAGGCTCTGGGAAACCCTATAAATCACAAACCTCCCTAACGGTTTGAATTGTTTCCATGCATTACTTAACAAATTTAAATTATAAATACCCAATCATCCTAGAACCTTTGACAGGATGGGCGAAGGGAGGGGAGAGGATGCCGTGGCTTTCATTGGTCAGATTCTTGGCATGCAAGTTACATCATTACCGCCATGTTGGATGACACAAAGCATTCGTCAGCAGTTTCTCTTGTTCATTCATCCAACATGGCGGCGATAGCTTTATCCTTTATTTCTCAGGGGGATTTCTGGTCATGTGGTTGCACACGAAGAATATAGAAACATTTTCAGTCTAAATATTATTTTCTTCAACTTAATTTTATTATCGCTTCAATAATTTACCTTGAACTGGACAAACTTGTTTTTCCTCTGTTATAAAATCAACTTCAAAAGACAAATCTAAGCATTTCCCAGTCAAAAGCCGCCTCCAGCACTTCGTGGTCTCATTGTTGTTGTCATCTGTTGATGAAACCAGTAGAGCTTTATCTTCTTCAAATACAAAGCCAGTTAAAGTCTCTAGCTTTTCCTTTATCGTCA